CCGACGGGGCTGAGCCGCCGATGCTCGTCTTTCCGCTCGGTTTCGCCGCCTCGAGTTGAGCTGTGAAGACAGGCCCCATCTTGCGCACTCCAGATGAAGCCTGTGAGATTAATGCCTCGAGGCGGCGTCGAGGGGCACTTCGTCACCAGCGCCGTAATTACAATCGGAATTGCGCCAGTGACAGATCGCCGCCCGCTCCCGGGCCCCCGCTTCGCCTCCCCGCTGTCGCCTCCCCCTCCCCGCTTCACCCCGCCCGCGCACTGGTGACACCATCCCCGCCGCTGCCGGCGACCGCCGCGCGGTGCCCGGCTGGCTGAGTCGACTCCGGAGTCGGATCTTTTTTCTGGGACCCTGCGCGGATCTCGTAATGCGTACATTTCAGATCGTGTTCACGCTCTTTGGAGAAGCATCGGTTTTCGTCTTTCTTTCAATTTCATACTTTCTCCTTAAGTGCTCTTTAAAAGTCAGTAGTCGCAATGTGGTGCTTTTAATGTACTCAGAGCACACTCAAATTCCACCTTTCATATCAGTTCCCTATGTTATATCCCGAGTGTCATAATTATGTTGGTTTATTATACTAATTTTATTCTTGGCAATTCATTTTTACTGGACCTTGATCGAGTTTGGAGCAAAAGTCCGTCACATTTTAGCTGCTCAGCAGATTTCATATCGAACGTTTCGCTTATAAGAGATACTAGCTGCATGTTATGAATATCATACAGTCCAGATTGCCTCAGTGGAGAGGATAGGGCATGATACGTACCTAAAGAGAAATTAGGAACAGGCGACACTGGACAAATTCGTAGACGAGACAAATACATTTTACTGCTGCAAAAATACTGTTATGTATTCTTTGCAAACTCTTCACATCACGGAATCATTATAAAGATGCAAGAAGCGTTTTATACGGCGTTTGTGGCAGGGACTAAAACAAAAACTAAATTAGTTTTAAAATTTGAATGATGAATGGGAAAACAGTCATCCTCTCATCTTAATTTTGATAAACGTAAGGTATAACTGTCAATGTACAAAATCCTACAGCTGTACATACTATTGTAAACAAATTAAGTGCAAATAGTGTGAAACGAAAAACGTTTTACATGGACCCAACTAATCATTTATCAATTAATACTTCAAAATTAAATTCAAAAACTCGTTTTTTAAGCATCTGCAAAAAACTCGTCTTTTAAGCTCTGAGTAAAAAATGTAGAAAAGCTTTGGAATAGTTTTTGAGAAAATGGCATAATTTCAAGCAGGAATTACGCAAATACTATTATTTCTTCAAAAACTGCCTACTTGAACTTTTTTAAAGATATAATTTTTTAGAGCAGATTTTATTTAAGAAAAAATGTCTATCATCATTATTGTACTTTTGCGATGTCAATTCGTTTGCAATTTTTGCAAATACGCAAAATAAGACCAGTAACACTTTTCCCCGCTTTTCTACATACGAGGAAGAAATTTACAGAAACAAAGAGTCTTTTTAAGAAAAGAATTACTTAAAAATAATCTTTATTTAATGCATAAATACGCAAAAACACTCTCATTTTCGAAACATTGTATATGACGTTATTACAAGATCTTCGAAAAACAGATTTTATTCAGAAAAACAAATCTCAATCTTCCGTATTGTAGTTGTAGGAAGATGCCAAACAAATTTTGAACTTTTTCAATTTTCAAATATTTAGATATTTCAACCAAAATAAAGCCTACGCCATTTTTAAACATTATCTACGGTCTACGGAACAAACAAAAATTTGAAGCAATTTTAAAGAAAATTTCGGAGCTTTGTGTGAAGTACCTCTAAATTCAAAATTTCCGTTTTAATCTCGCACAGTCTTGAGTTCGTTCAGGTCGATCGGAGAATATTAATTTTAGAGAAAATCTCGACTATTTAGGGTCTAAATTTTAAGCGATATTGTTGAGCACAAACGGACGACAGACGGATTGACAAATGTTTCCGTCAATCGACAGTTCGTTACCCGTGCCCCACAGTAACATTGCTGTCGAAAAATTGCGGTTTTCTGTCGCAATATTACTATAATTGCTGTTCGTTACGTCCGTAGAAAGGCGGTAAAATATACTAAAAACAAATAAAATTAAGGTTGATAACTCCAGAACTATATTTTTTTATTCTGTACTGGAAATAGATACGTTCGTAATAAAACTTCAGTAAAGAAAAATTAAAGAATTAATTTAATAAAAAAGTTATATAATGTCGGATTGATTTACGACTTAATTCTTGTTAGTAAAATTAAAGTTAAAAACTACCAAAAGAGAACTAACGTCTTACAATAAATGACTGTTGTACAAGAATGGATAGGAAATGACAAACATAAAAGGGAATTCTTTTAGAGAACTATCAACGATTAATATGTTTAATTTGGTTCTTCAAAAAATATAATTAAAATGTGGGTAAATGTTTCTTATATTCGGTTTGACTTTTTTGAGTGGACACCTTGCCAAAAAGGAGAAGAGGAATCAGAAAAAAAGGGAGGCCAAGGAAAACGTGGAAAGAAGTCATATACATAAGACAATGAAGAGAAGAACAAAGTCGCATGACAGCTGCCGTATGGAGTGCGAGAAATGATAAATAATGATATAAAAATCGATTATTATTATTTATTAACAAATTATAAAAATAGGTTACTGTTGCAAATAAATAATATCATAGTTATAAATAAAATAAAAACTGAAGAAAGGAAAAAAGTTTTAGAAATTCCATTCTTCTATTTTCCGGGAACGTCAAGCGAACCATCTCATTGGTTAGTGTGGTGAATGTTTTTATGCCTGGATAGGACGGAGTTCGTCCCGATTCTGAAGTGTAAATGCTGTGTAAAATACAATGATATTATTATTATTATTATTATTATTATTATTATTATTATTATTATTATTATTATTATTATTAAGTAGCAATAGCAACCACAGTAACTAATAAATAGGAAAAACAATCGAAGATTCACACTGATGGTGACTGAACGTGAGCTAGAAATTATTAGTTTCAAAAACATGAATGTTTCATGAAAACCATCCATGTTTCTAATACACTGCCATCACTGTCGCGTCTCGCAACCTGGCTCTGCAGCTGGGAGTCCCAGTAGCGCCTGTCTTCCAGAGGCAGCCGTGCTCAGCCCACGTGACACTCCGCGGTGCTGCGCGTTGCGTTCGCTCACCTGCCAGGGGCCGCATCTCCGAGCACCTGGGAATAGACTGGGATCGAGAATTAGCGGGAGAAGATACAGAATACCGTAGAGTCGCGATAATCCGAGGTAATTGGGGTTGATGGTACCTCGGGTTACAAAAAATCATCGGATAAGACAATCCCGGATTAGTACAATCTTTGACGTGTCAAATTAATTCTGTAAAAGCAGAGCAATAGTAAACTCAGGGAAAACTGTTTCAATGCAGGTATTAATTTCAGATAAACAATTGCATAAGCAATTGAAAATGAACTATGTGCAACTAAGAGAGAGCGTAGGATTCCCCGGCCGGAGTCGGTATTTACTAGGCTGTCCGGGTGACGCCGCGTCCATGGCAAAGGTGCCGAAGTTTCGGTCGCCATTCTGCGACCTTCCTCCACATTACGCCCTGAGGAAGGTCGCAGAATGGCGACCGAAACGTCGGCACCTTTGCCATGGACGCGGCGTCACCCGGACAGCCTAGTAAATATGTGCAACTAACCGATGATAAGGTGAGAACATTTTTGATCTCTCAGTTCAGTCAAACCTCAAATTGATTGCCAATTTAAATGAATTCCATTATGCTACGCGTTCAGAATTCTTACAAATAGTCAGCCTTCGTACTGCACGTTGGGTAAATTTCGCGAATGTTCATTTCCGCCTGAGATCTGGAATAATAAGAATGTGGGAAATACATCGTATAGCTCCCAGATTTCAGATTATAAAGAAAATAATTTTATAAATAATAAGCAAATCCCACCCACGTGATGCTTATAAGCCCCTTTTTATTAAGCTTGGAATTCTACCAATACCTTGCCTCTTGATTTTTTAATCAGTTTTTTGTCAGAAATTACTTATTCCATTTTGGGAACATTTTCAGTGAATACAGATGTATATAACAGTAATATTCGACGTAGTAATCATACAATCACGCAATAATGTGCGTGTACACATGTAATCATATAATCACACAATACATGTACATAATTTTTTAACACATTGCCAGATAGCATTAAAAGACTAAAAACGATTAGAAACTGTAAATGCCAAATATAATGTATTCTGCTTCGTAATTGTTTCTATACAGTTAGAAACTATACCGAAAATTAAAAGGAAAATAATATTGATTTCATCAATGATATTTATTGTAGTAGTTACCATTTAGACTATAATTCTTAAAGACTAAATATGCCTGTGTATTCTATCTCAACGTCTGGGTCAATAACCCCCACTCGATCACAGTTTTCATGCAATTTCCCTCATCCTTTGAGCGAATGCTGAGATAGCCTCTTGTTTTGATTCTGGACATACATGTAACTTTAAAAGTACATACATGTACTTTTTTCTAGAGCTCACTGTAATGTTGCAGCTTCATAAAATAAATAACGTTTTCTACGAAACATTTGTTTACATAATTACATTGAACGCAGTACACGATTGAAAATAAAATTTTTACATTTGTACAAATCTGCGAAGATGATACTGACACGTTTACGGCTGGTCTTGCCCGACGGGAACACTATCCGCAGCTTAAAAAGTACTTAAGGGAGTGCGTTGCGCGCTTTGTAAACTTGTGTGGCACACAGTCACAAATTGCCATCCCAATGACTCGCGGAATATGAATCGTCAGACGCGGAGCACAAAAGACTTACGCACTGAGCACCAGAAAACATCATTGAGGTGCGGAGCATATAGGTGTCCGAGATGCTGAGCACAAAAAACAGACCATTCTGAAGCTCGGAGGGAGACAAAAGAGGTCTTGTCCCATTACCTGCAGTCCTCCACTATTGCTCGTACACCATTGGTTCATAGTATCATAGGAAAACGGTGTGTGTCGGACGGTGGGAAAATTGTCAAGTGTCAATTGTGCAAGGCGCCGCCGGAGAGAAAATTAGTGCTGCTAAGGGAGACGTTTGGGACAAAGGAAAGTACAGGTAAATTGTGATAGCGTTAATGAAGAAATCCTGGATATGGTGTAATGAGTTGTATGATTTGATGGGGAGGATGGGAAAGTTCCTAGAGAATTGGCATGAGAAATGTGAATAAATTTAAGTTTGCTGCTATATGATTTGTGTCAGTGGAATGGTTCTTTCCAGCTTTCAAAATGATTTCAACAAGTGAGACACCGCCTTACTGGAGAAAATTTGCAGAAAATCTTGATTATATTATGTGCTGCTAATTATGACAGTGACTAAAATAATATACTCTCAAGTCATTCTATAAGTCACTCTCATAGGTGTAAAAGTACTTCGCTTTCCAGAACAAACGCGCGTAATGCAATTCTTTGGTGATCAGTTTTTGATGCGAGAAACAACTTTTTATGACGTTTTTAAATGCCTGATTCAATAATTTTAATCTATTTCAAGTGCCTAAAACGTCGCTTTTCATGACTAGAAGTGCTTAATTTCATAATTTTGTTACCTGTTTTAGGTGCCCTTATTAAAATCAATGCTATAACGTTGATGAAAGGCGGAGGAAACAGGCAAACGAAACCCACATGTGTGCTGTATAGATATTATAGAGCCAAACGTAAGATTTAATTTCTCGTTATTTATGTATTTCAAATAATTTTAGTCAATAGATTGTTGATGGTGTGGTTGTATTTTATTTAATTGTTAAATCACTTCATTGGTAATGATTTTCCTTTTTATTATTGATTGTAATTTTGAGTGTGTGTGTAAAACAATTTTGAACTCTGCTCATAGCAATAGAATTTAGGAAGAAAAATCCTCGAGGTAGATATTGAGCGCGCTTGTCACTGCTCGACAAACTGTCAATGGTACGGGGTACATTGAATGAATGAAATATATCAGTCATTTCAATGTTTAATATCCTGTTCAAGACGTATCTCATACTCATTGGTGACTCGATTTGTTGAGCCTATATCGAAAATCAATAAAAAGGTTATAGCATATTGTTTTTGAAAATAGTAGAAATGTGAAACAAAATAATAGACATCATGTTTTGTTTCCGTACAGTACAGCGAGAGAAAATTTTATCATTTTCAACCACCCAATTTTTGTAAGCATTTTCTTCTCTGTTTAATTACCTCTCCGACATACGGATGCATTGTGAAGCAGGTTACAGCAGTTCGATGGGAGAATTCATCTCGCTCAACTTGTTTAACAAATGTTCTCCTCATGAACTTTTCATTTTTGAAATTGAAAAATGAGAGATTCTGCACATTTGATTAACTTCTGATGCCGCACTTGATTGCAATAGCTGCATTTTACATTTCACATCCGAATGTGTCAGGATATATCTTGCGTGGAGCTTGCACAATTTTACTGTGACGTACGTTCAGTACAGTCCCCAAATTAGAAACCATAATAATTTTACTGCCATATGTCATGAGAAGGGCTTGCGTTAATTTTTACGGTCTAAGTTTAAAGTGTGGCTCCGAAGGTTCGAGGTTTGGAAATACATTTGTTTTCAAAACGGCGACAAATGATATGAAGTCGCCTTGTTACCTTTGAGAGCAATATTGACAGAGTTACCGTAATGTAGTTATTACGTATTGTTTCTCATTGCTCAGTACTGTTCTTGCTTGTTTACGAATTATTTGTTTCTAATTGTGAAGTGTAATTGTATATTTGCTACTGTTTTTTTCATGAAGACAGAAAGAAAATTGACGATACTTTCAAACTAGTATGGTTGAAGTATTTTGCTCGTTTCCCGACAGCGCGATTCTCAACAAAAAAAAAAGAAAAACATTTTAGACATGTAATCTGTAAATGATAATATTCGAATTCATTACATTCTTCAAATAAATATTATGTCCCGCTTCACATCGAAGTAATTACCTTCATTAAACTTTTTGTTTATGATATAGAAATCCATTAACTGGAAAAAATCGTTCTTCGATATTGTCATTAGAAAAGTTAGTATGTAACTAATAACTAAATGATTGTGATCTTTAGATCTCCGCATCGAAATGCTGCTGTTATGTCGCCTATTTGTCGATTAATGATTTCCATAATCTACGATTTAGAGATACTAGACAGCCTATTTTTATGTATTGCGAAAGTTATTATTTATAAAATGAAACCTCAATGAATTGATAATTATTTTATAGTTTCATTCGTTTATTTTCTATCTAATTACGTAATCCTGTTATAAAATTGCTTATTATTTAAAAATGAATGCTTGTCAACACGAAGTTTCCAAATGTGAGACCGCGAACTCCTTAAACTCGCGTAACAGCGATGCTATAATATGACAGTACAGGTAAGACCAATGCTTGATATCGAACTGCCTCGTGTGAATTAAGGCAGCAATACCAGATAACGCGGTTGCGATTCACGGCGGCCGGCTTCGTATTAAAAGTGCCGAAAGGACCTTTAGCTGAACCTCTGCCACGGGCAGATACCGAGTGTTTTTCATTTGCAACTCAAAACGCGCACAAGAATCTCTCAAAATGCAAACTTGGGGATTCAACTCTTAGGAGAAAACATTGGTGAGTAGCCACTTCCGCACGTGGTAAGTATACAGAAGTCACGTGATTCGACACCCTTCTCCTTGTCAGTTGACCTGCGCTAGCGACAACCAGCGCTGCTACCTTTCTTCTCCGCGGTCACGTGACTGCCGCTCGGCGTCCGCTCACGTGTTCGAACGCGTATAGTCCCCCGTTCTGTTTTCAGTCCTATTGTTTCTACCCTTAACAGGATAATTTTCCCTTGTTTGCAAATACCTGGAATTCCTGCATCAATTAACAGCTAGGTTCTCGGAGCAGATTGGCGTTCTGTGGCTGTATTGCCGGTTGTGTAAGCACGACGCCACAATATTGTATATTATTACATTGGTGTGTTACGTAAAACGTCATTTTAATGTGTCGGTATTACGAAGGTAATTCATAAAAAGAGACAGTTATGTAGACCGGAAAACGGTCACTTTTCGGCAGGAAAATTCTTATTCTTATCCGTAATCCAGATCCTTGTAACGAAAAAGAGGATACACCTAATTGCTAAATATAGAAAACAAATTCCTCTAACATGTGGTGTAGGCAGCATCCATGTATTGTGGATTATTGATGGCGAAATATCCATTGACGACAAAAGTCCGTTCTCTGTTCGTCGCTGGTCAATACTCGCGCCTAAACCGTTCAGCAGATTTTTTCCAAAATTGATATTCCCGGATCTATTTGAACAAACTCGAGGCTTTGGGAGTTTGAAATGTATATTTTGATTTTTGAGGGTACTTTACATGAAGACTCAAAAACATTTTCGAAATATTCTCAAAAATCACTGCAATTTTTTGATTACACTTTGTCTTCGTATAGCCAAAAGGACGCTTAAGAGAATAGTGCAGGTCACATGTTTGTTGAAATCTCTGATATTTCGAAAATTGCGTTAGTGCAAGTTTTTATTTTTATTTTATTTTTGGGGGGAAGGGTGTCTTTTAAATTATAGTATTGAAAATAGCCTTAATAGAATCTGTTCTTTAAATTCACATCTTGAAATAAGGGCATGTTACATTTTTTGGAAATATGAGTAGATTTCCAGTGATTTTGCGCAAAATATAGGCAATTAAATTTTTTTAACAATTTTTTCTCAGACACCGCACCAAATGATTTCTTGAAATTACCGCTCAGGAAGGGATCAAGAGACGGCGCCGACTGGACGGCCAAGGTGGCCGTTTGTCCCATAACTTTCATGTATGTGTGTTGTCGCGGAAGGACTAGCGAGTCTGCTGACCACAGACCGAGGAGCTTGCAAGTGTCAGTGTCTAGCGTAAATGTTGATGTGTGTCCCCGGGGGACGTAGTGGGTACTCTGTGGGGACAATTGAAATCGGCGTCCACTGAAGCTGGAGAAAGCCCCAGGAAGAAAGAAATGTATCAAGGAACGGCAAAAGTATTGTGCCAGTACCATTTTCGGAGAAATCTCTTAATTTTTTTTTTGAAAATTGCTTAAGGTTTACATTTCGAAACTACAAAATTGCTGATAGAGATTTATTCTCGAGAACCAAATGAATGGATAAGATGCGTTTAGTATATTTTTATAAGATTGTTTTTCTGTTGGTAAACTATTGGTGGGATTGACATAGTAATGCAAGATGTTTTGGTCTAAAGCAACTTTTTATTAACATTTAAATGACTTGCATCCCACGGTAACTGAGCTATAATGATGCGTTTTGGTATAAAAATGAAGATAATTAATGGTAGTTTAAATAACAGAAATAATAAATTCGCAAAATTATTAACACACCACGTGAATTGCAGTGAAATTATGAATGTGCATAATCACACCTGGAAGAGCTGTGCAAATTTATCATTATCACCGTATGAAGCCATCGCGTTCGATCCCCACATAGACACTTGACCCACAACTACTTGAAATGGAAAACATATATCTCCTTCACAACTACGTAGGGAAACTGACACATTTAAATAAGAATGAAGAATTAGTTGACGAAAATATAAAACAATCCCCTTCTCTCTTACTAAGTTATTATTAAAAGCCATTTTAATTTCTAACCTTACCAGTGGTGCCCAGGACGTCGCAGTAGCTAGGAAACATATGTAGTCATCCTCTCTCCCTTGCCGCTCCGCACTGTTATGTTCCTTCGTATTAAAACTACAAGGCTGGCTTTGTTGACGGATTCTGGCTCCGACATGACAGGTAAAATTTGTCTTTTACTTCACCTTTTATTTAAATTTTGTCCATATTTTCTTTGTAAGAAATTGCGGCTCATCTCAAGAATGTTCTAAAGTGACAAAATTCAGCATGATTTGTTAAAAAAATGTCGATACATGAGAGTTATTTACATGAAAATCTCTGGAATTTTAATTTTAAAAAAATAGTTAATTTTTTAATAGTTGTATACATTTAATGCCTGATTCTTTATCCCTGATCACACCTTTACACCTGGTCGCTTGAATTCACATTTATTTTAATAATCATCAAGCGGCTTCGATATCTCCGTGAGGTGTCCGG